ATAATTACATGTGCAATTTAAATCAATTTCAGTTATCTACTCATAGATTTCTATATATTATAATATATAGAAGTCTGTGCATCTACTACAAAGTATATATGTGTGAATATGTGATAACCGCTAATAAAACTTTGCAGTGTAGTTTGTTTTTCATGGCGATTTTTCGTGGCGAGGAACCGTTTCAATGTACCATGTTCCGAAGGCACATCTGTAAAATGGCTTAGCCACCGAAAAACTCGACGGCCAAGTGAAAGCGCTTTGAAACAAATTTGTTGGATGTATTGGAGGGTGTTTATCATTTTATGTGAAATCTTATTGTTGACTATCAGTATCGGAAATGAATTCTGAAAATGGAACAGTTTTATGGCATTTATGAACTTGTATAAAATTGTAAAATGACGAGATACTTGTGACATCCGTTCGCGGTAAGTTTATATATTTATTTATATATATAGCGACCTGAGAGTATATAGTAATTGCATAGCGTCAAAGCTACTTGGTATTATAAATGCAATGTAATTTGTCAAATATTGTCACAATTTGATACTATATTGATAAATATATTGATAAATAGTTTGATACTGCAATAGGTTTTGTATGAGATGATGCGATTGAATTTCAAAACAGTCTTGCTTGTATTGGTTGTCGCAACATTGAGTTTTTTACTTACATCGTGGAATAATTGTGGAAGTAGTTTGCTCTTTCATACCTCAGATTGGAAAACAAAGTATCAACACAAGGTAAAATAAAGAAAATTAATATTTTTTCTCGAGTTTATTTGCGCGTGATACAATATAACAACAAGAGCGAGTAAACTTTAATGTATTATTTTGCGTTAATTTATTTTTTGATATATATTTTATTCATACATTATTCATTTCAATTTAGGATCGTTCGAGTACAGAATCGGGATATCAAGAAATAGATTGTCACATAAATGGCGATTACTCGATAGGATGTCGTAAAGAAGGTGATGAAGTATACATACCATTTTCATTTATCCATAAATACTTTGAGGTCAGTTAAGTTTACCATTTTAGTGTTTTTTTTTTTTTATATGATATCAGATAGATTACAATAATTTGATATGCAACATTGTAGATTTATGGGAAATTAGCTACTTACGATGGTCTGGAAAGATTTGAATGGCTGCACAGTTATTCAAAGATTGTAAATCCCAAAGGAAAGTATGATTCTCGAGGTGTGTTTATGACGTTTGAAAATTACAATGTTGAAGTGAGGGATAGAGTTAAATGTATCAGCGGCATCGACGGTGTACCGATATCGACACAATGGGAAAGTCAAGGGTATTATTATCCCACGCAAATTGCTCAGTTTGGATTATCGCATTATAGTAAGAATTTAACCGAACCAGAACCGCATAGAAAAATTATTGAGGATTCCGATAAAGTTAAGCAAAATTGGAATGTTCCTCAAGGTTCGATTATGAACAGAGTGTACGACAAACAAATTAACAGTTATGTTGTAAAATTTGCAACACCGGAAACTAGCATTTCTGGGATTTCTTTAACATTAGATTATGTGCTGAATTTTGTTTTAAAATGGGATCTCAATATTAAAGATAATGGAAGTATTACAGTTGTACTGGAATCGAAAGAGAAAAAGGAAACATACTATCTTCACTATGTTACCAGCAACATAGTATTACATAATTATAATAATCATGTATATTATGGAATTGGAATAGTTAATCATCAGTGGAGACGTTTTACTAGAGATCTTTTAGTTGACTTACAAAAAGGTCTTTATTTAAATGATAAAAGTAGAAAGAAATTACCCAGATCCAAGTTAAAGGTAATTGTTGAATTTTTAACATAATTTTACTTGATATATTAATATATTTCGTAGGGAATATTGCGTTAATATTATTATTTATGTGTATGTGTACTTGTATATGTATATAATAATCACATCTGTATCTTAGGTAGTTAAAATTACTTTGTATGGTTCCGGTATGATTGACAATATGACATTATCGACTAGCGAACATATGGAGCAATTTTACGATGCGGCAAGATGGTTCGTCGCTAATCAAAATGTCACTTCTGGTGGTTGGTCGAATCCTGTTAAGAGAAAAGTAGCATCTGGAATGGCTATCCTTGAGCCTGGATGGTATTATTATTATTATTATTATTATTATTATTATTATTATTATTA